CTTACTAATTTCTATGCCCCCCTACATTACGTTCGCAGAAGTAAGTCGACAGACCCTGTTATATAAAGACTTACCTACTACACGATTGACGCCGTAGTTGGAAAACCGGCTGCTTCGCAACATGTTACGGGTTCAATTCCCGCATGGCACAACTCTTTTTTGTTTCAGGTCTAGGTTATTTATGTTTGTGAATTTATTTTATACGAATAGATACTTGTGAAAAAGGATCAATGACATTTGCCCTCGCACAGTCGATAGATGTTTCAGGTTCAATTATCGAGCCGAAAATATTCTTGTATGTAATTTCGAAATTACATGAAGGTAGGTACATCACGACTTTTCTGCAACGGTGTACACCGTAGAAATATTAAACTTTATTATATCTATGGGGTACACATGTCGCGGAGAACCTAACGGGTTACCAGGGCTCCGGCTCAACGTGCAGGAGAAGGAACAGGGCGGTTTTGAGTCTGACACTCCCTCCCTGCCACCCAGGCGGGAGCAGCAATTCGATGATTTTCCCCCCTTAAAAAAAATGGGGTACACAGATGTATAACGTAGGTAGCATGGAGCAATCAATTTTCGTCAGTTATTTTACGAGTATCACGTAATCAATTCATCGACGCTATAAATGCTTTAATGTACTGTGGCCAGCAGATCAACCTACTGGCCACCGTACCTACGTATCGTAGTTTGTCAAGTAGGTACTTACCATTATTGCACGATTAATATTTGCGTACGTAGGTGCACGTTCACAGCTGCTCTGTAACACCGACACCGATTAGATTTCAGCGTTGGGCACTTGCTCGGGAATAATAACCTTCTAATAACCATTGGTAGCTAATAGCATTCTGCACGAAGCAACCTGTTATCGTAATGCACAATACATGTTGTTTTGGGTCGAAACTAAGTATTTACGTTTTATGTAATTATTACACATTTCTACGCAAAACAATTTGTGTCAGTAACGTAAAACAATTTGTGTATGCACACACTCATGACATAAGTGTCACGGGGGTAGGTAGAAATTAAAGAACACCCACTTACGACGATCTATACATACTGCCTGCCAACACATTCATACAAGTATCAACAAGGGTGGCTCACCATTCATTGTTTCTTTCGTTCCAACTTTCATCCATCTCATTCGATTTTGCATATTATACCTACCTTCGTTATAAGCATGATACTTTCAGGGTGAGAACCTGCTTGACAAATACATCGTAATATTCATGCACCTCTCTCACTCATCATTTACTTCATAAGTACCACCTGTTCTGATGGCAATGTCCAAAAAAAATCGAATGTTAAGTGCGTAGTATAAATAAAATACTCGAATTTAAAGTTATTTGGATCAAACAATCAGAAGAGCTAAATTAATGTCTGTATGTAAATAAAAATATCTTGGTTTATAAAAATCAAAACACTGTTTTTATAATTATACATACACAATAAATAAATTCATTATGAACATTAGTCTTGGAACTTAAAATTGTATTCAGTTCTCTATACTTATCAGTATGTAAGATCAATCTTGTTTTCATACTAGGTAAAATATTAAACAATATATAGCTGAAAAACTGAAAATCTTATAAAAGTTGTTGGGAAAAAATAATAAAAGATCTTATTCATAAAAACATACAATTAATTATTGTTTATAATAATATCCTACCACACCATTGTCATTTTTATAATTTTAAATGATAGAAGGCATACATTCCTGAGGCTGCGTGGATGTCATTTTTATGAATAAGATTACAGTCACATCATTAGTCAAATAATCAGGTATTGGAAGCATTGTTTTGTTTTGGCTAATATCTGTTTCAAGTACATATCTTAGTAAAACATTATACAATTAAGAATTGGCCGGTGACATTTTCCTTCAAACTCATGTAATAGTTCATCAATATCATTATCTAAATCATCACTTTGAGCCATCTTAGTGACCATGTCACTTATCAAAAATGCACCAATAGTTGCTTCCTCGTGGTTGTCTTGTATGTCCATATTCACAACATGGACCGGCTGGTTATACACTGACCTCCTTGATCCAAACCACTCTATAACTTGGTCATACACCCTTTCTTCACATGTTATTATAACATCAAATCTCTCTGTTGATATCTGAAACTTCTCTGGACTGGGTTTGATTCTTCTGTTTCTATCTAACATATGAAGAATGCCATTTTGTGTATAGTATACTTTGTCCTTCTCCAACAAATCGTTGTAAATGTCGTCGTATGGGACTCCAAATTCATAACAATTCGGTCGATCTGCAGAAGCACCTGGTAACTTAACCTTTTCTCCTGTGCCATAAGACTTTACTTTGAAGCCTTTCTTCGCCAGAAATGCATGAGCCTCCATACTTCGGTTCATGTTCGAAGAACACACAACCGCTATGTAGATATCACACATTGTTTACAATGAACTTCGATTCTAGAGTGTAAAAAATAAATAAAACATTGCGATTAGTTATAACTTGCATAAAACAGTCATCGCAATTTCAAGTTTTATAGGATACAAAGACGCAACATTAAATTACAATAAATTCGTTTATATTGTGATTATTACCGCGTTTTACTGAACCCGAGAAATTATTATTTGTAGAAAAATCACACGAAGATTCATTCGTAATGAATGAAGATTCGGTTTTGTCACGAAGACACGAACGTCACGAAATCATGGCAATAGCATCTTTTAAAATAATGGCAAGTGGCAACGTCAATTTTTTTTTTAAATATGTTGTGACATGGATACGTGTTCTTTTACCTTAAGTTATTAAAATATAATTGTCGAATCAATCTAATAGATTCTTCGTAATTATTGTTGTTTTTAGTACATTGCACGCTTATATTTTCATATTTTAATTATGCTAGTACATAATAAGTTTATAGGAATATCGTGTAATAAGTATAGAGGAAGTATATTCGGAGACTGAAAACTATGGGAATAGAAGAATAGAAGGACCTGAAAAAACTGAGACATCTCCGTTCAGGCGGGCTTGCTTCTTTTTTCCATAGTCTATCTATGGTCGTGCCGTCCAATGACCGAAGAATAAAAGCTGTCAGATGCGTATCTTTAAAACTCGACTATAATATCTATTTATTCCACGCGAGTGCTGAAGGTGCTGAATTACAATCTGACAAGTGTAACTGTTCTATTTTTATAAACGTCAATGTCAAGTCAAAACAATTTTGATTTCATGTGCGAATGTCGGACCCTTTATATTCTAGGTTAAATTCTTAATTCATTAAATGAATTTTCATTAGTTGTAATAGATAATATTGTATACTCTGATTTGTTAGTAAAGAGTATGTTAAGTGCACTATTTGTGGTATAATACGATTCGATAAGCCATTGCTAGTTAATCGTTAACATGAATAGTGTCCTGAAGAACTTGGTTATTACTAGTTTGAAATCAAATCACCTAAAAACTATACACACCAGTGCGCTAGCTTTAGCATGGTCTAAAACAGAAAACAAGCCGAAAAGGTTTTTAAGATATAATGAAAAAATATATCCTCCTCAATCACCCGATGAAGAACCCAGGCCTGCAGTAAGTTATGAATTACGAACCAATTTTAAACCAATCCGAAATAGAGTTAATGGGGGGTTATCCTTAGGGGTTGTTTTAAGGGCGTAAAAACATCGAATGTCTTTTCCGCCTGGGTGAGGCGGAAGGGAGTGTCAGACTCTTACTGAATAAAACTCACTCCGTTTCTACGAGCACTTCGAGCCTAAGCCCGGTAACCTTATACTTTATCCGCGGCTCCATATCGGCAATCCTTAGGGGTGGTATTATATAAATTGTGTAATGTATATATTTTGTATTATTAATAGTAAGTAGGTGCATAATCTTATGTATACACTAGTGTTGTCAATAAAAGGACACATGAATCTTACAGCACCATACTGACTGATCTATAATGCTAGTTAAATTAGTATCATCCACTAACAAATTACAATTTCTTACTTTTCATCATATAATTAATGTAAGTAGGTATAGTAAACACAACATTTAGGTGAATAATTAGTATTTAAAATTCTAATGACTGTTCTAACACAAACAGAAAAATATTCGAAATGCTTTAATTTTCCTAAAAAAATACTCTGTAACATAATATCAACTAGGTATTCCGGTTAGACTACAGATTCAAATCCATTTGAAGATAATTTTATTATAATCTTCTTAATTGATTATTTGCCTTCAACATCTTTATATTATTCCTGAAATTATAAGACAGGAGTTAGTCAATACTTGTATTATTATGTCAGCAATACCTATTAATTCAGGGAATCTTTAAATATTTAGTAGCTATGTCCCATAAAAGTTCCTTATTTTATAAAACGGCAATTAATATTCTTGTTAATTTTTTCAGTTTGTATGTGTTCAAAAGACCAACATAAAATACAGTCCTGAAAAGCTGTGGTATATTGCCAGTTTTGTCAGAGGAATGACAGTTGATGAAGCTATAAAACAACTCAGTTTTGTACCAAAAAAGGGAGCAATATTTGTTAAAGAAGCCATACTTGAAGCTCAAGAACTAGCTGTAAAAGAACACAATGTTGAATTCAGAAGCAATTTGTGGGTTGGTGAGTATAAATAATTTATTGTGTATTTAATATACAATATGTGTTTATCTCATACACCTGTAGCAAACCATATGTATTCAGTACTTAGTATTGGGTGCAGTCTTGAGTACAGAGTACTGAAATGTTACTCTCACGATTTCGTTCCTCGCATTTATTGCATAGTTGTAGTATAGATTAGTATATATGTACGATATTCTTAGTAAGGTTCACGCAGGTAAGTTGATGTGTATTTAATTAGTAAAGTTAAAACATTATAAATATATTTTTTTATTAATTTAACAAAAAAGTATATAATAATAATAATTTAAGATGAAAAACATTTTTGTTGTTTAAAATAAAATTGTTATATAATATAATTTCAGTCTAATTTCAGTTTAAGAACAAAAGATTTTTGTTGTTGATATGTTTTTATCAATACTTTGACACCTATGATGCTTCTTCTTATAAATTAAGATATTCCGTCAATAGTTTATATGCAGTTCTACACGCGTACCATACAATAAAACATACAACTCAATAACTGTGTTATCAAGGAGGAATACTCAATTTCATAGTAACGAATATATAGGGGTTTGCTTTGTCTCATTACTTTTACAGCTCTATTGTCTCACAAGCATTCCTTGCTACCGTAAGCCACCATGACCTGTGCATATTGAAAATTTCCAGTACCCATAACATTTTATATACCAGCCTACACTCTGTCATAAAACCATAGCCTAAAGTAATATTTTACTTGTTTTTTTAGCTGAATCTTTTGCTAATAAGGGAATGGTAATAAAGGGAATAAGAAGACATGCCAGAGGTCGTATGGGCGAAGTGAGGTACCAGTTCAGTCACTATTTTGTAAGGTTGGAAGAGGGGAAACCACCAGCAGACTACTATAAGAGAGATCCACAGACACCTCAACAACAACTTGCCAATTGGCTGGAACAAATGAGGAAGAGAAAGATTATAAATTCATATTAAGTTGTACATCATTTATTAATTCGATTATTTAGAAATATAAATTAGCATAGAATCTATTATCTTTATTATTTCATCTTTTATAATTTACCTATTATTTTATCAAAATATCGTTTTAGCTACTTTTAAGACAAGTTATGGTAAAACTTAACTAGTTTAAGTCACAAATTTGATAAAAATAAATTATTATTGCTATGTACTAATGTATTCAATTAAACTATAATTTATTGGGTTGATTATATTATTGCTAACTAAATTATTATTTATACTACAAAAGTATAAAATTAATATTCATATTAGAATATTAGCCTAATTAAGAAATACTTATTAAAATAATATAATATGTTTTTCTAAACTTAATTGTAATGGGTGTTCGTGATTATTTATAGTTTAGCAAGCCCAATAGAAGCTTTGTTATGGCTGTGGTAAATCTTCTTAGGTAATTTTTAAACCACTTAATTTACCCTGGTAATAATACTTTAAGATTAATAATTTGAAAGTCTCATAGAAATAGGCAAGCAATATAAAAAAATAGTGATAATCGAACTACGAAGCAAAGGGTAATTTATATAGATCTCTTAACCTATGTCATAAAAGTGATCATACATTTAAAGAAGTCCGGGGCTCTGGTTTCTTGGGTACGTAACCATAAAGGAAAATTGAAAATATCACGAATATTGTGCCAATAGCAAACTGTACAGTTAAATTGAAATTGAAGATGTAGATAGAGGCTACACAAGATATGATAATTGCAACTGATGTTGCAAAACCCTTTAATATGTTATCTGCGTATTTTACGACCACAGCAACTATGAGACCTCCAGCTGCTTGCAATAAGACTAGATACCAAACAAAACCATCAAAGCCTTTTAATAAATTATTTTGTGTTCCTTCATTTATAAGGTAAGTAATGGTTCCAAATGGCAATGATAATAAACTCAACTGCACATTTCTCATCCATACCTGAAACAATATAGTCACAATTATTATGATGAAAATTGCTGTAAAAAATTAACACCAATACCACAAACTCAATTTATCATGGTATGATATCACATGAAAAATTTTCTTTCTATTTTTGCTACCCCAATAAATGCCATTTTATTACAAATACTGTTACTTATTAGAAATTCTCGACCGCCGAAATTCTTAGTTATGACATGTTATCTTAAAGCTAAATAGTCGATTTGTTTTTGAGATATAAAATGAGCTGCATAAATGAATCTGTAATTTTAAAATACATGTTTGGTGATTATCACCCGTACGAAGTCGTGGTGAACAGATAGTTGCGTATTGAATTACAATAGCGACTGGACGACCTTGAGCATCGCCTTTTGTGTAATAATAACATACGGTAGAAACAGTTTTATTGCTATTCAAATTGAATTAAAAGAATGATGTAGAGACAAGTGTTCAGTATTCACATTAGACAAAACTGTTTACTTCACATGTGGCACTAGCAGTGCATTCAATAATCACCCTTACTGCTTGTACAATAAAGATAAAAGAGTTTCAAGAACAACACATGTAGTTGACCACATCTTGTTTGCTATTAAATAAAGGTGAATAAACAATGTTGTCTAAATATTAATAAACAACTTAGTTACAATTGCACTTACAGATATGTCTGATTCTTTAAGTACTTTCTCAAAGTATATTCCAGCGAAACCAGATAAGAAACATGCTGCTAGAGCTGCACTAAATCCTATGATCTTGGATTGCTCCGGTAAATGTGATTTGACATGTGCTTTTTCTGTTGAAGACAATTGTACAACAGCTACACCAGCTGCTAAGATAACTAATGCTAGCCATTGCCACTTTTTGAGCTGTCTTTTTAACACAACAACAGCAAAAAATGCTGTTGTCAATATTTTTAATTGATATGTAACCTGGAAACAGAACAAATTATTTTATTAATTAATACATATCCAAGTAATTATCTACCTATTTGTAAAATGGTTTTGAAATTTGGTATTTCTCAAAAAAGGATATATTCTAGAATCTAGATTATAAATAAAGATAGATTTACTATGAATATTCAAGTAAAATGTTACCTGGTAAGTAGCAGCATCTAAATTAGATGCAGACACATAGAGCAAATTGTTCTGCACAATGTACAGAAACGAGGGCACACATACTCTTAAAGTGTCTCGTA